ACCCTTGTTGGTCTTTCTTTGCAGACACAGGAGGATAAGGAATCTGCCCTTGTGTTGGATAAGGAGAAGGTGCAGTGTGAGGGTTTGGATACGGAGATGCAGAATATGGTGCTACAGTTTGGGGGTAATTGTAATTGATTGGAGGGCCAGAGCTTACATGAGCTTTACCAGGCTGCATATAGCCTGTGGTCATAGGATAGGCAGCCATTGTAACCACTCCAGGGGGAAATGGTGGCTGCCCAGTTTTACCTTTGTTGGAATCAGCATATTTTACAATTATATTCCTCCCCTGCAATGAAACAAGTACAATATGTCATAACTTCTAAAATATATACAGCTTCAATCCTAAAGCTATAACCGGGACTATATTAAGAATTTTAGCTAACAAGGAAAAATCTAGCGTCAAATAAGTTTTTACGGTCATATTGAAATTGATAATTTTCTAGTCTTGAATTAATAGTGTTAACATGTTACCCCTTTCAGATTATCACATGTCAACACACACAAATATCTGACTAAAATAATTATATGTCAAAATCGTTTATTCACAAGTAATGAAGTTACCATCAGGACCAAATAACATATATTAAATGTAGAGTATAAAAACCAGGGATAAGTTTTGGATGAACCAATTTCAATACGGATAAATTTTGAAGGTTTAAACTTATTTAACCCTAAAATCTAATATGCAGCTAAAAAATGGTAAGTTACCTAAAAGTGTGTAAACCAACATATTTTAATAGAACTTTTCCTTTACTGTATAATTAAGATGCCTTTTCAATGATCTTCAAATTTTTCTCTTTGTCGCAATTTCAAGACATTTTTAAGCATATAAACTAATCAGGTCCCACTCTCACAGCTAACCTCAGACTTTACATAAAATATGAAATGTTTGCTTACCCCAAGAGTCTTTTCAAGATCATTTATGGCCTTCTTAGCAGCTTCTGCTGTCTTGTACGTGACAAAGCCAAAGCCACTACAGTTGGAAATAAAACAATAATAACACGTTACAGGAAAAATCAGGTGTAGAAAACTACTTGAGCCTTACCAATACGGAGATAACAAAATGGGTTGTTAAACATGATTTTTGAAGTTGATAATTAGAAAAAAAAAATTAACAAAGTTGAGGCTTTGATAGAACAAATTGGTACAAAAAAACTTTGAAACTGATAATTTGAGAGAACAACTTTTTGGACTACTCAAATATATAGACAGATCTCTGTATATGACCATTGCTCTATATTAACAAGTTTCTTTAAAAGAAAAATAATGAAAAGCTGCACCTAGCAACCTGTTTATGGGCTGCTACAGTGAGCACAAATCGATTTTTCCAAAACCAACACTGGTTGCTATCCACCAGTGAATACATAATCAAATGGGTTGCTGTAACAAATTAGCAACTAGCTTTCTCAGGCAGAGGAGCTTCTCTCACGAAAATGAATAAGTATAAATTCTGTATCCTAGTAAAGCATGTTGCTACTTTTACCGTGATTCATTTGTATCCCTGTCATATGCAACTGAACCTTCTTCTATTTCACCATGCCTCGCAAAATAGGTAAGCAGCATTTCACTTGTGACTTCTGGTGATAAGCTTCCAATATAAAGCTTCCTCAAGGAAAGATCAGGAGCACTACTTGTTCCACTTAGACCCTCACAGGCTAGATTACAGACGGCCAATCTTCCCTGAAAACAAGAATTCCTATAATCAACAGGGGAATGTCGGAATGACAGCTGCAGACAGTTTCAAAGATTAATAGTTTTTCAGGGTTGGGGCAAGGAGGTCACCTACACACAACTAAGCTACTAAAATCTAGAAGTATTAAGAAAATGTAATACAGATAACCTTCCAGCGTATTAGCGACCTTAGGTCCTTAGGTTTAAAAAAATGTCACTATGCCTGAATGTTTCTCAACAGTATAAGGCAGAAAAGGTAAATTGGATTGTGCAACATGAGAAAACATAAGCTGGCAAAGTCCACAAACCCAAACTACAGGCCACGAAAAAAAACCCACTTCCAAGATAACCTTCCTAATAGATCTCATAATTTGGGTGTATTGGGATTGGCAAGTTGAGAAATTCAAGGAGGCAAACTTAGTTACCATGGTGTTTCTAAAGCAATACTGCAGATTTATGCATAGAAGAGATTTAAAATGGGGTAAAGATTACATCAATTAACTTGCTAGAAGCTCTCAAGGCTTGCTGAGTTGATTCCATATTTTTGAAAGTGATAAATCCATAGCCACGGGACTTCCCAGTTACTTTATCATAGATCACAGCTCCTTCCTCAATTTCTCCATGCTCTTCAAAAGCCTGGAAAATAAGCAATGGATAAGAAGCAATCTACAGAAAGAAGGAATTTTATTTTTGAGTCTCAAGGCTTGAGATTAGAGACAAGGTACTGGGTTGTAAATAAAGGGACATAAAATTGGCATTCTATAAAATAAATCTTGTTGGGGACATTCCATCTGACATGGATGCAATCAAATGCATGACACACTAAACACAATCACCAATGCACTCACAGCACGCAAAGTTTCTGAAGTGGTATTCCATGCCAAGCCACGAACGAAAAGCTTTCGATGGGCAGGGTCTGCACTTGCAATACTTTTTATTTCTTCTGCTATTGAAGGATATTGGGACCCTCTTTATGCCTCAACATGAAAACAAACACACATGCACACGGTCAATCACACAGCATACAAGTGGGAGCAATTGTTTTGGCCCCTTTTATGCAAAGCACACCATGCAAGCAGAAGGTACCAACAATTCAAAGAGGACAAATGCACATGGTATACACACATATAAAGAAATTCCCAAGAAGGATTCTGTTCTGACCAACTGAGGCAAAAAATCAATACCTGCCTCAAAAGTATAACAAATTCCTTTCATCAAGCATTTATGATTTTAATTTAATGTTTTAGGTACAATTAGTCGATTGTTTGTTTTCATCTCGTCATATAATAATGCTAAATTTGTCAATTAACAACCATGATGACCTGTGAGGACAAGCCTTGGCATACCAGTAACTAGTAAGGTTCAAATCCTCAAACAACCTCTCCCCCTTGAAAGGATAATGCAATATACATCTATGCTCCCCAAATCCCACTATGTGAGAATGCATTTGACTGGGTCACCCTTTTAGACCTATGACGACAAAGTGCATTGGGTCTGGATTAACAATAACTTACCAGCCAAGCCCTGTAGTATGTGCCAGACACCACCTTTCATTCCCACAACTAGAAATTGCTGGCAAAGGGGGAGAGAAAGCTTAATGGAAATGTAAGGAGTAAAGTGTGATGGTTGTTCATATTTTAATATGTATTTAGAAAAAGGGGCAAATATTAAGTTTGAAAATATTCCCTGAGGACCATGTCAATGTTGATACAGTGAAAATGCTAATTCCTAAATAAATAGCCTCGTAACCCTATTTCGTAAGGACCAATGTTTGAACAATTTTGAGGCCAAATCCTGTAAGTCGAACATAGTCACAAATCCAACTAGGTTAACAAAAAAAAAAAAAATCTAGATATTGCAGTCCCGAATGGACACTAATACAAGATACAACTTCATATACGTAATAATTATACTACTCATAAAGCACTTTATACTTTTATACTTTTCACAATTCAAGGAGAGGACTGCAATGCAAACGGATAAAACCGAAAAGAATATCAAAAAGCATGGTGAAGCTGATTGCACGGAGAGGATGACGAGAAAGAAGAAGTAGAAGAACGAAAGAAGTGAAATGGAGAATATGAAACGCACAGTTTCGCCAGAAGATCAACGAGCTGGGGTTTAGCTAGAGGTTCAATGAGGAAGCGAAGTTCTTCCTTGGAAGCAAAATCACCGTTTCCTGCTTCGTCCAATTTTCTCTTCTTCAAATCTTCCATGTCGTCTTCTTCTCGTTCTTCTTCTTCTTCTTCCCCCTCTTCCACTTCCACTCAACACCTCCGAACCCAATGCATTAGGTCTATAATTGGGCTTCTCTTATACATGCAGCCTGGGCTTCTCAACTTCAAGGCCCGTGTCCGGCCCAACTTCGCAACTAATAAATTTGTAAGATAAAAAAATTTATCCAAAATCTTCTACAAAAGCTCGTACACGAATGGATTTTTATTGTTTAATATGTTTATCATTATATTTTATCACATAACATTTCTTTTAAACTAAAACCAAAATTTGATATTATTATTAAGATAAAATTCAAAACATATTTTGTGTATTTTTTCAAATGTTGATAATAGTATATTTGTACACGTATTTGATCATATTTAATGTTTAATGTTGATAATTTTTTTTAAAATAGGATAAATCAAATTTTTGTTGTGGAATTTGAAATGTTTTTTTGGTGAAATAAATTGTTTGGATAAACAATTTAAAAAAAAAATCAAATTCTTAAAACTTATGAAAATATTGTTTTTTGGTAGAAATAACTAAATATTTAAAATATCTAATATTCATTTTGTTAATTTTCAAAATATATATTTAAAAATTATTTATACAGTAGAAAGTAAACTACCCAACCTAAGCTAAGAATTAAAAATTAAAAAAAATTTAACTTGATGAATTCATTTTTCCCATATCAAAACAATTTAAATTTCTAGTATTTAAAATGTTTAGAAATTTTAAATTTCTTTATCCAAACAAATGTAAAGGGTTGTATTGAGTTAGTTAAACTAAATAAGTAATTATGAAACAAAACCATCTTAATCATGTCTTTAAGTTACCATGCGAAGGATAATGAACAATAAACCATGTATTAAATACAGGTATCACAGTGTTTATATCCTCACTTAGTGAAAAGTGTTTTCAGTTTTTCTCTTAACTCTGTGACAACTCTCTTTTAAGTGTGAATACTGTGTGAGATTTGTGTGGGAGTGCTCAACAAGAGCATACTAGACATGATTGGTGAAAAAATGTTTCGTACATTTACAAGCTTGATTGTCTATTGCAAGACAAAGGCAGCAAAAATAGAGTAACATATCAAACAATTGACCCCATCATTTGGGGACAATTGCTTCCAGTTCTGTGTCCAGGAACTTCTCGAGTTTGGCTCTTTCCTTTTGGTAATCTAACATTCCTTTTAGTTGCTGGCTCTGCTGTTGAATCAGCACTTGCAAATTTCGTTGCATCTACCAAGATAGTAAAGGGTAAGTCAGTCCAAATGCTTGAGTTACATACAAATTTTCATTGATGTCAATCAAACAGATATTATCATCATAAAAATTCCGTGTATTACCTCTAGTTGTTGGCAAATATTCCTTCTAACTTCTAGCTGCAGTTGCCGTGATTCCTCAATTTGCATTTGGCTGCAAATTAAAGAGTATATAAATTTAAGAAAACTAGTTAACTGTTTGATATTTTAGTCAGAAAAAGCTCTTGCAATTACAGATAAAAAAAGTATCATAACAACACAAAAGTGTAGATTGTCATAGTTTAATTGATGTTACATTTTCACTTGAAGCTCAGCCACCCCATCCATTTTATGTCCTTCCTCAGATTTTTCTGAAAGACAACGTGGGAACTGTATGATAGACCTTAATAGCAGAGAATGAAATATAATTCATGGAGCGATAAAAAAAAATGTTGTTGGGTTGGATGTTTATCAGAAGGCAAAACTGAGGAATGATAATAATAAGGCGTATCCAAATACCTTATTAGATTTCACTTCTCCATTTCCACCTTACTCTTTTCACTCCAGTTGCTTTCGCAAGAAATATGTTTTAAAGAATTTCAGAAGGTATATATATGCATTGCAGTAACATAAGACATTGACAATGAGAAAAGTAATTTACCCTGCAAAGGTTTGTGCATGTTTATGGTAGACCTACATTTCTGCAAGGCACATATTAGAAATATTAGAGAGCCAATTAGTTGCGAAAGTGGCTATTGTAATGCATGACAAAGTTCAAGAACCAGAAAGAAATTGTTCGCTGAAATTAGTTTTTACCTGTAAATGACTTTTAACATGAGAAATGGATAGCAAATCTGATTTCATCATATCTAGTATAGCCTTAGGTTTTGCCTCTGCGATTAACAATGAACAAATTAAGTACAGGGTAACAAGGGTTCTTTTTGTTGTTTTTTTCTTTAAGTGTAACCAATACTATTACTTTGTTAACTTACTTTCTGGGCCACCAAGACTATTAACAATCATCATAAATGGCTCGTGTAGATCTTTGGTCCATTTTATTCTTCTTTTGCCTCTCCTAGAAGCAGAGTTGCTAGAAGTTACACAAGCAACCCCACAAAGTCGATGAGGAGCTTGCTTTTGTGGCTTTGTACAAGAGTCCAACTAATATAAGACACATTGCATCTCATTAGAACAAAAAAAAAAAAGTATATTACAAACTAGCTGATAAATGGATGAGGAGAAATTCCTAGGTTATGCGGTCTACATAAGATGCTGAAATAAATAAGTTATGTGCCTAAAAGTATTCAATAAAGATATATTTATATACATGCTTCTGAGGTCAATTTTTTCAACCGGTGCTTATTAGTATTCTTAGAGTTAAGAGCTTGATTAGAGGTTTCACCGTTGGAGCTTGCTGATGTAATTACTATTTGAAAACTGGTTCTTACATTAGAACTGATCTCTCTCCTCTCACTCTTTCGCATATCCAAAACCATTTGATTATATTGATTATATAGGACAACTCTCAAAATTATTTTGCTTATTAGAACAATGAAACAATATAATGATGTGGGTCTGTTGTATGACCCATTTTAAGTTTTCAAGAGTTTTACTACAAGAGAGAATTTTCTGGAGTTCCTAAAATCCTATATATCAGTGTTGGGTTGACTAGAGGTAAGTTAAGAACATATGAATGATTCTCTCTCTCTCTCTCTCTCTCTCTCTCATATATATATATATATATATATATATATATATATATCAACAGTAAATATGAGTGTCAATGATTAATCATGCCTAACTAAGAATTTTTAAATAAGGGAAGAGTAATAAACATTTGTCCTCTAAACGAAGCAAAGATAAACAAAGGTAAAATACAACTAATTAATTTTTTTGTTAAAGAAAAAATAAGGATGCTTTCATATCAAATCATTTGTACGTCAAATGGAATCAGAAACTACTAACCACACCCTCAAAAGTAAGAACCTGGTTTTTCTGAAAGGAAATCTCAGGAAGCCTTTCATCTGTGGCAGCATCATCTCTCAGTAATTTATCTTCTTCTTGTGAAAAGTGATCGTAATATGGCATACTATCAGGCTGCATGCTACTATATTTTTCAGAATAGGAAGTAATTTTACAATATTTTTCAGAAGAAGGACAATCTGCAACATTGCTGGACGACAAGAAAGATTCAGCAACCGGGCACAAGGAGCTTGTGAATTGAGAGGAGGGGGGATCTTGTTTGGTGGTGATTGTGGTGAAGTTATCCCCAGAAGCTTGGCGAATATTCAGCATGTGAGAGTCTGTTGTTGTTGTCTTTGGAAACTCAAAGCACCAAGTAGGAACTTCAATCTGATGTTGCTGAGCTTGAAAGCTCACAAGAGCTTTTGTTGCACTTGCACAAAAACCTTGTGGGGTTTGAATTTGAAGAGGAGTGGTCACAATGTTGAAGGGTGATTTTGTTGGTTCAACAACACTCACTTGTTCTGATCCAACAACCTTGACTAGGTTGCTAATCCCCATGTAGGATTCCCATTCAGTTCCGTACATCTGGGAACTATACTGATACATGCTTCTCTACTCTCTCAAAACCTAACCAACATCAAGACCTAAACTCTTGCTCAAATTTAGTTACTCCACTTCTCTGATGCTAATTTATATTCCAACAAGAGAAAAGGCGATAACAGTCCCTACCAATACAAAAACTTCAAATGCTTTTTTATTAAAAGAAAATGGTGTGTGGGAGAATAAAAAAATGTGAGGGATGAACAGTGTAAGGAAAAGTTAACAATGTATACAGACACAGTTGTGTCCTCGTACAAAGCGAATTTCTCAATGTATTAGGACAACAAGTTTGTCTAAGTACATTCTGACCTGTGAAAAGTATCATGCATAGTAGCATCACAGAGAAACTAATACACACACATTCTTAATTCATAGATGCAAGACAACCATAATTGTTTATTGTACTCAATAGCAATAACCACCACAATGCATTACTTTGGACAGGCCTGATCCCTCCAAAGTCCTATATATGCCCTCACTCTAACCTCATCTTGCAATCATTCTCTGATGTACACTGCAGTTCATACGTATATCTTATGTGGAAACTACTAGAATTGGATAGAATATTGTTCTTGTAAATCCAAAAAGTTGTACATAGTATAAGAGTCATTCTTTTTATTTAACTTATTCAAACTTCAAAACAGACAATACTGTAGTGAGTCTTTACACAAACACATGCATAATATGAGTAAATCTTGCATTCATTTAAAAAAAGAATATAAGTAAAGAGATAGTGTAGAGTATTGGGCATATAGAATAGGGTTTTGAAGATCTGAATAGCTAATATGGTAGATCTCTTTTAGTTCAAGAGAATATAATGGGAAGATAAGGTACAAGAATCCAAGCGTGCCATTGATTTGTTTAGTTTCAGACGAATTTATATATACCATATTTTAAGATAATAAAAAATATAAAAAAAATTAAATATAAAATTCCTATAAACAAAACAAAATAAATAGTTGTATCAGATAATTTCTACAAATTAATTTGTAAGTAAGAAGTTAATTTTCTTTTTCCTCTTCAAATTAGTTTGGAGAAGTTTGTTCAATCATGTATTTATTGTAGAAGACTAAAATTGGATCAAATTTCATACCCATATTCCCTGTATTATTATAATTGCTTAAAAATTATTAATCGTCAATCTTTTAATAATTAGATTATAAGTTTATTTTTTAACTATTATGCCTTGATAACCCTCCAAAGAAAATCAGGCACTGTATTTTTTTCATTTATTTATTTTTACATTAGTCATGAGAGATGATTCATTTTCTCATGTTTTTATTCGTTAAGAAAATTAAAATTTATTATATTAATTTACCCTTGATCTTTAAGTATTTTGCTTTCCCTTGATATTTGAGATTTGATAAGTAAATTTCTTTTTTATTGATTTTAGTACTCTTTGCAGTCAAATCAAATGACAATATTTTAATTATACTCCTGCTAAATTTTACTTATTTACAATAATTTTATTTAAACATTTGATTTAAAAAAAGTATAGTATATAAACGAGGTATTAGATTACAAATAAAAAAGTATACTAATGAAGATTTAAAAGAATACTTGAATTACATAGCACTACACAAAATAATATTTTTGCAATATTAAAGTTCATAATAGAAAGAATTTCAAGTATATAAATTATATTGTAAATTTAAAATACAGTTTAGAAATAAAGATAAAAATATATAGTAGATTGAAAAAGATAAATAATTAATATATAAAGGAGATCTTTCCATAAACTAATATTAAAATCACTTGGTAATTTATAACCTATAATGATTTGAATATTATTAGAGAACATGGACAAATTCATATGTTCAAATAACTATGGAGCATGATAATGACAAAAAAGATGCCAGTGATTCATGGTCTCAATCATCCACTTTATAACTTTCTTAATTACTTCTTAATTACATTAACTTTCTTAAAATTCAATCATTCTAAAAGAGGAAATGCTCGAGTAACTTTTTGTAAGCATTGTCCTTCAAATAATTTTTACCTTATATTTGAATTATAATAAAGAGAATAAAAAGTGAGATAGTTTGAATTATTTATTATTATAATAATAAATAAATAAATAATATATTAATTATTTTTTTAAACATAATTATAATTATGTCGTTACATGATGTCTTCTTCAGTTTTTTTTTTCGTAAAAAAGAGAGAATAAAATTTTATCTCAATACAGTAGTTAGAAACAAACACAAGTTTAAAAAAGAGAAATCGAACCCACGATAATAATAATAAAAACTTATTAATTATTATTTTAATTATTTTTAAATTTTATAAATGTTTAATTGATAAAAATGCAATAGTAAATTTTACACTAACAAATAACATGAAAATTAAATTCATGGCGTTGTTATAGAATTATAATTATCCTATTTATTCATAAAATTATTTTATAATTATATATTAAAACGAGTAAAAAAATATTTTAAATTTAAAATATATTTTTAATACACAAATATAAAACATATTAAACAATAAATAAAAACATATTTATTGTTAACAAATTATATCTACCTTCCATGAGATTATGATAAATCACGCTTGAATCACTTTTCTAAAATTGATATTTACTCCCCATCTAACTTTTAAATAAATATTTATCTCCTTGTATTTTTAATAAGTACACTCATTTCCTTTATATTTTTAATAAATTATATTAAAAAATATCATATAGACTAAAACTTAAATAAGAAACATGAAAATTAAAATTGATATTATTAATAATATTAGCAATAAGAATATGTAAAGGTCCAAAAATGAAATGCCAAGAAAGGACGGCCATCACAAATAGGATTCAATAAAAACAAGAGTCAAAGATTCCGGTCAATAAAATGATTATATTTATCGATGCTAAATATAATCATTTTCTTATCATTAATCGATAATAATCTTTTTAGCATTCACACTCAACGCTTATTAGTGTTTAATATTGCTCACCGTTTTCCTTTGGGACGTATTAGAATATTTAAACATCATTCTACACTAAAGATTGTTTTATTTAGTTGTTAATTTTAAGTTTTTAAAAGACAGTTTTATCGATTAATTTTGAAAAATTATTTTTAAAATAAATTTGAATGCAATTTTATTTTTAAAAAGCTTTTTTTCTGTTTTTTTTTAAATAATTTTAATTTTTTTAATTATTATATAAATATTTTTATTAAAATAATTAAAAAAAAAACTAAATTTGATAAAATATATTTTTTATTTTTATTAATGGATATCAACATTTTTATATATAATTATAATAAATCACTTATTTTATCACCGTAAATTTATTAAAAATATTTTTAAATTGTTGTTATAATTTTTTTATGATTATCTATTTCATTTTTTTCTAAAATAATTTTTAAAAATGAAATTATCAAATAAATTTTTTAATTTATTTTCAAAAATATCTCTAACACTATTTTAAAATTAAAAAACAAAACTAAATAAAAAAATGTCCTAATTATCTAATTCAGCATTTTGTTAACGTTATTTTTTATCTGCGAACTAAGAAAAAAATATAATAAAACATAAATTTTATTAATTTCTATCGTTGTCTCAAACTTAAAACTCTTAATTGGAATTCTCATTATCTCAAGTTTTTCAATAAACCAAACATTTGGTGCGGGTAAAAGTAAAAGCATGAAAAAGCTCAAATAATCATTTCCTTTTTCTACCTTGAATACAAAAGGCTGAGATGAAAACTATAAATTATTTTGAAAAATACTTTTTTTATTATTAATTGAATTTATTTAAAAATTACGAAATCAGAATATAATTTAACAAGGAATGGAACTCATAATTTTGTGATTTATTATAAAATGTAATTAACAGTAGAGAGTAATTTGAAATAAATGAATTGTTGTCACTTGTGCAATTAACAGAAGATAAAAGAAATGCAGAAGGAGCAAAACAATGACACCGTGCTTTGAAAAAAAAAAAAAGAGAGCAGAAAACTCTGCTTACAAAGTTTATTCCCTCCTCCTCAAGTAAAGCTAGTGTAATACAATGTTTCTTTTTTCTATAAAATATATAATGAAGGACTCAAAATTATGTACTAATTCATTGAGAGAGTTTGCATTTGTAGGATAAACAAAAATGTTATTCTTCCCATAACAAAATCCCATGATGTGATCTATCTGTTTCTTACAAGGAGTAAGGATGTGGAAAACTGTAATTTTATGCAAAACCATCAAATTATTTGCTTGGAGAGGGCTTGGAAGTGAAGAAGGATTTTTGAACCCCTCCAGGAACAGAAACCTCACCATCTTTATGACTAATTGTTGTCTCATCAGTGGCTGAATCCTGTGTATTTGACAGGTTATTACTTTTCTTCTGCTGCTGGTCAAACATTTTTTTTAGTTGCCTTCCTTGTTCCTCAATTCTCAACTGTAATTTTCTCTGAATCTGGACCAGGAAAGTAAGTGAAATGAAAACTTGAAGAGAGGAAAGAGTGTTATAAGAATCCAAATATCCCCACTCATTCATTAGTTTTAGCATCCAATTCCTCAAAATATCTGCCTAACTCTTATCCATATTATACACATGATAGTGCAATTTCACATCATCACCTATGCCAAAATGATTATGCCTAGAATTAGAAAAAAGGCTAAAATGTAAATAGAGATGTCTAGAAGCCTTTAAACATATCATAGTTTGCTTGTAAAAATGATTCATTATTTTATAGGTAGTGGTGAGAGTTTAAGTATGTGAGATATTGGACTTCATTTATTGTTCTTCTGTGACTAAATCTCTGCATCATATCTTCCATCTAAAGCTGGTTGAAAGGTAAAAAATGTGAAATTAAATGCTTATGATTCAAAAACCTTTCAGGTGGTTAAGCCAATATTGAAGTTTTTATATAAGAGGAGTGGAAAGGGCCACAAATTAAGTACAATGATAGCATAGATAAAATAGCAAGAAAAAATGATAGCACAGATATACCTCTAGTTGTTCGTGAAGACACCTTTGAGCATCTAATTGAAGCTTAAGTGCCTCTCTAATTTGTAATCCTCTATAGATCATGAACAGAGTTAATTTAGTAGATTATAAAACGAACTAAGCAACTTCATGGAAGTACTAGAATCATAGGAATATAATAAGTAGCATTACGTTTTGACATCAAGATGATGCATATTCTTTGTGTGGTGGGTTCTTTTGTCAGATTTCCCTGAAACAGAAGAAAGTTTTCGGTTGAGTACGTGGAGTGAACCTGATATTTGAAAGAATTGAAGAACAACGAAGACTATGAATAACTGTTGAGAAAGATAAAGCAAAGGAGAACAATTAGCCATATCCTGAAGGAGAAGAAAAATATAAATGTAAAATAATATGATTGAGAGATAGATTAAGTGTTGTATGAAATACTATGAGTTGTTGCATGATTAACAGAAGTCATACTGAGAGATAATTTCACCCTAACAAGAATTGGAACTAAGGTTGACTATGTTTGCCATGTAGTAAGTAGATCAACTCAAACTTTATACTACTTAAGGGAAGAAATGCATTTATTCTGCATTGGAACTTCTTACACTAGAGGTCAATTAACAGTTTATTAAAGTCTCAACAACAATCAAAGAATCAAAACCAAGGGAAAAAGAAAAGTTCATATTCTCGGACATGACAAGCACTATAACAAAAACATATGTTCATCATTTATGACACGAATATCAGTAAATTCAAGCACCAAGAAATGTACATGACATGAAAAGAAACTACGCTGCAATTCTGGTAAACAGCAAAATAGAATTTACCTTGACAGGGATCTGGAATGAATTTTGCAATTCTATATTTCTGCAAATGACTTTTGATATGGAAGATAGTCAAACCATCTGTGCCCATCATCTTTAATATAGCTTTTGGTGTTGCCTCTATAGTCAAGCAGCAATACAGGGCTATCAGATAATGCATAGATGCACAGCCAATTAGTAATATTTGTTTAGTTACTTACGCTCAGAGCCTCCAAGGCGATTCACACACTCAACAAACTTCTCATGAAGATCCTTAGTCCATCGTATACGTGTTTTACTTGAGACTACTGCCCCATTAGAAGCAGAGTTTCCAATAGTAGACACACTTCCTGCTGAAAGTGTTGGAGACAACTTCTCAATCTGAGAAGAAAATCTCAGCTGTGCAACAGGTAAATTAATGGATCCACGAGCAACCTGCATACAATAAATGTAATATCGTAAGCCAATTGAATCTTCCAATAATGGACACATGACAAAATCTACGTATGGGGTTTGCCAAATGGAAAAACTTACCATATGGTCCTGACTTCCTTTGTTAGGAAATGATGAGCCCCTGATAACACCATCAATGAACAACTTCTGTTGTTCAATTGGAAGGAAGTTGGTGGTGGGAAAATTCCCACATGAAATTTTATTGGACTTCTCAGGGGTTCCACGACATTGATTATTATTCAATTGAGATTTCACTATGGATTGCAAAGTGTTTGACAAGTCAAAGTTGGAGTCAGGTTGGTTTACCGAATCCAAGAAAAGGTTTTCCCTGGGAGATTGATACAAAGGGAATTCCAAGTCATTAATCTTACATAACTGAGATTGAATACCAACTTGGCAATCATATTCTGCAAACCCCATGCAGTTTTCTGCAGCATAAAAGGCAGAAGCTGGTGACTCAAAACGGCTGATAATGGTGCCAGATGATTTGACATGGCCTATGTTTGGTAACTGATCTATAGCTTCTCCTCCAACCATGGCAAGTGGTCCCATATTCCAAGCCTGTCTGATATCAAAATACTGACAGTAATGATTGCCAAACTCAGAATTAAAATCCCCACTTAGTCCATGACTTTGTTGAATCAATCCTCCCCAATGAACGTTGTTCTCGTTCATTGACACAAAATTTTATGTAGGATGGTAATCGGACTAATACATCTGATCATATATATCAACTCTCTGGAAGCTCATAAAGAATGGGGAGGGTAGAAGAAGAATGGAAAGGTAACAATAGTAATGCCAATTCGAGGCTATGGCATAAAATTCTCTTTTATATTCCCAAAAGGCTTCAGGTATAAGATTTGAATCTGATTGTCTTAATGCTAACGTGCAAGGTCATTTAGCTATTAATTATCTTGAAAAAGGGGATAAGAATGAACAATAATGAATTGACATTAACGAAGTAGAGTACATGGAAACAGACAGAAAGTTTTGTCTAAATGTTGTCTTCACGTGAATTTAAACCAAATGCAAAAGAATCAATAGAAAAAGCAGGAAAACTAAGCAACCTAACTTAGATGGGTCTCAAATAAGAGGTTAAAAGAAGTTCCCTGGAGGACAACTTCAACAACAAAGCTAGATGATGGATCATACATAAAAAACAGTCCCAGACTAATATTAAATTCTAGTTGATTATCTTAAAAATGGAGAATATTGAGATGGCCATATGGGCATCTGTAGTGTAATAATTAAATGTTAGATAAAGATACTGGCATAAATTCACATAATATATCTGTATTATTCCTACAAAGGATTCGGATGAAACAACTTTAACCACACACAGGGATGACAAATATGTTATCAAATTAAGTCCTGTTCCACTGCTTGCTGCCACTGCATCTTGCAAAGTGGGGTATCAGAAATTACCAGAAAAAGTGTATCTAATTTTTATATTCATCATAAAAGCACAATGGAACTTTAACTATAAGAATCCCAGTAAAATTCAGTAACCTAATGGGCTCTCCATTACATAAAGGTAAGAAAAGATGGACAATGGGACACATAAATTCAGTGCATTCACATGCACTCTCACTTCCGTATTGCTGCTGATCTTTCTTTACCCATATTTCTCACCTCTCTTCTTTTTCAATTCTCTCAATTTTATTTTCTTGCTGAACAAGGCTTCACTTTATTTTTCACTTTCAGATTGGTCAGAGACAAAGGGAAAAGGAACGTGTTACAAATGATGCACAATACTTCAAAATTAAGAAAATAGAAGAATGAACACGTTTAACGTGGAAAACCTTTGCTTGGAAAATCGCGGGCTGAGGTAACCAAATTCATTCATTGTAAAAATATTTGGGAACAAAAGAGTGACTTGAAACTCTTAAAACAATAAAAAAATATAAAAGTTGATAAAACATTTTGTTTATCTTTCTTAAAACAACAAAATATTTTTCTTGTTTTCTTGACACAATCATGTTTCCCTGATGGAACACCGTCTCATTTGCATGTGTTTTAAGTTATAAGAGTTTTTATCCTTTGCTGTTGTTTCTTCTAAATGTTGATAAGCTTACAAAGAGATAAGATATTATTTAACATGTAACATAATATTTTATAATATTTATGTTACATAATCAATTATATCAAAGAAAAATATTTAAAAATTTCTGTTAATAATTATTTTTATTATAATAAATAATAAATAAAATCATTAATAATAAATAAATTTATCTCACTTTTTTTTTTATAATTCTACCAATCTTATTTTTTGCTTTATTTTTCTTTCTTTCTTTTTATTTCTACTTCTCAATATTCACTCTCTACTCCAAACAACTTATTATTGTACAGAGGATGAACCTCTTAAATAAATTCTCACGGATGAAACTTATAAAAATATGGTGTATAGTGCTATTTTCTCTTATTATTTCTATAGAAATAAGCAGCGATTAGTCATGTTTAATTTTTGCAATCTTATGTTTTCTTTGTTATCATTTAAACCAATGACTAAATAATCTTAGACTTAGAAAAAAATACATGAATAGCTTAAGACTTATATTTTATTACTTTTAGTTGTCTCATAAAAGAAAATATTCTAATCATAATCAAAGTAAATATATTATTTATTAACATGAAAATTTCAAATTAAATAAATGTTCATTTTAATAATTTTGTAAGAATAAGAATAGAAATATTTATATTTATAAATAATTTTAAATAGAAGTTACTTTTTTTTAATTTATATTTTTTACTTTTCCACTTTTAACTAATATAAGTAATAAACATAATTTTCATGATTTATTAAAATTTGGAACAATTTAATTGCTATTTATTTATTTATCAAAATTTTAAAAGGACAAACATATATGAAAAAAAATGAAAGTTCAAAATGCTGAGATTGAATATTTTATATATTTAGAATTAATATATGAAATACAATTAATGTACATTTAGTTATAGTTTAATAGAGATTATACTCATTACTAGTTGTTAAAATCATTATAAAAATTTGAAAGGTTAAGAAAATGAAGGTGAAAATTTAAAAAGATATTCATACAGTTAATAAAAGCAAAATAAATTATGTTTATGTTACGTACTAAGAAAAACAGAATGAACGTAAAGGGTACAGGAAAAAGGAAGTAACTGAATAGTACGTGCGTGCATGCATGCAACTGAAGTATTATTTATATCAGAAAAACAGATAACAGAAAACTGAACTTATAACAGAAGCATTTTTAGTTTGGCTTATTCAACACTCCTCCTCAAACTAAAAATAACATGAAACATCTACAACATCAAGATTATCTATGAAACGTTTGAATTTTTCATTTTTCAAAGGTTTTGTTAAAACATCCACCACTTGTTCCTCAAATTTGCAGTAATCAATCTCAAGCTTCCCAGCTGCCACTTGCTCCCGAATGAAATGGTATTTAAGCTCTATATGTTTACTCCTACCGTGTAGAGTTGGATGCTTTACGAGGCTTATTGCCGATTGATTATCAATCAGTAACTTCATTTTTTGCACCTGTTCAACTCCCAATTCTCTCATCAGTGTTGTCAACCAGATTCCTTGGCATGCTGCATTGGATGCTGCAACATATTCAGCCTCACAACTTGAAAGAGCTACGATGGGTTCTTTCGTAGAGCTCCAAGAGATTGTTGCTTTTCCAAGAAAAAACACATACCCAGCCGTACTCTTTCTATCATCCTATCACCACTCCAATCAGCGTCAGTAAACCCAACCAGTCTGTTTTCTCCTTTGGCAAGCATGATTCCCAGTTTCAATGTTCCATGAAGGTACCTTAAAATGCGTTTTACAGCAAGTAGATGAGATGATTTTGGTTCCTGCATATACCTGCTAACCAAGTCAACACTCAAACTAAGATTTGGTCTTGTGTTGCAAAGGTATCTTAGGCCGCCCACGATACTTCTATACTCGCACTCGGATCCACGTTTTCTTCGTCAGGACTTAGCTCAAGCTTCAATCCGGACTCGCAGGGGTGCTTGCGAGTTACTCCGATGCATCCCAAATCTTTTTACTAAGTCCCTTGCATACTTCGTCCGATGTAGCAACATCCCAATGGGTGTTCTCTTGAACTCTATGCCAAGGAAGTAACTCAAGTTTCCCAGATCAGTCATTTCAAATTCTGAAAGGAGATCACGCTTGCACTCACAGATCAGCTTCTCAGTGCTTCCAGTGACCAGGAGATCGTCAACATATAGGCAAATGATGATTTTCTCATTGTTGTGCTACTGCATTTTCACGTAAACACCGTGCTCTGATTTACATTTGATGAACTCAATCTGCTCAAGGAATGTGTCAATGCGTTTATTCCACGCTCTTGGTGCCTGCTTAAGCCCATATAGAGTCTTCTTCAATTTATAAACTTTGTTTTTCTTCTCCTGATGTTCAAAGCCACTGGGTTGCTGCATATAAACCTCCTCCTCTAGTGGACCATTGAGAAAGACAGATTTAATATCTAACTGATGTAATGACCAATTAGAGTTTATGAAAAAAGCAACCACTAATCTAATCGTCTCCAATCGAGCAACAGGTGCATAAACCTCACTGTAGTCTATCTCTGCTCTCTGCAAGAACCCTTTGGCGACGAGTCTCGCTTTATAGCGCAAAATCTCTCCTTTAGGATTCATCTTCAGCTTATAGACCCACTTGAGCGCAATGGGCTTCTTACCAGGTGGTAGTGGGACAAGTTCCCAAGTCTGGTTCTTCTCGATGGAGTTAATCTCTTCCTCCATTGCACTCAGCCAGTGAGGATTCTTCACTGCTTCTTCAAATTCTACAGGTTCTGCCTTTGCAATCAACGCAAAATGAATCAAGCTCCCATCCGTTGTTACTGCTGAATCATCAAAGATTTCGTAATCCCTCAGACGTGAAGGAAGATGTGATGTGCGCTGTGATCTTCTTGTAGCTGATGCTTCACCTCGGTTCTGATCTTCTGAGTCAGTTTCTTCATCGAAAGTCACTTTTGTAGTGTTTTCTTCTTTCTCAACACGATCCCATGACCAACTGCTTGCCTCATTGAACGTAACATCACGACTGATTGAAACCTGTTTTGTGGCAGGATCAAACAACTTGTATCCCCCTGTTACATGATAACCAATGAACACATGCGGTGTGCCTTTGTCATCGAGCTTTCTCCTTAGTGGGTCCGGCACATGCTTATAGCACATGGATCCAAAAATTTTGAAGTGTGAAACACTTGGTTTGACACCTGTCCAGGCTTCTTCCGGTGTCACCTCTAGACGTTTTGTTGGTGCATGGTTCAACATGTGTGCAGCAGTAACGGCTGCCTCTCCCCAGAACTGGTTTGGCACATTCTTTCCCTTCAACATGCACCGTATCATGTTTAGCAATGTCCTATTTATACGTTCAGCAGTTCCATTATGTTGGGGGGTATAAGGTGGAGTCTTCTCATGAATTATTCCCTCCTTCTCACAAAATGAGTTGAAGTTCATTGATGAATACTCACCACCTCCATCACTACGCAAGACCTTCAACTTCTCCCCACTCTGCCTCTCGACCATCCTGACAAACTTTTCAAACACTTCTTGAACGTCACTTTTTCGTGCAAGCAAATACACCCACAATTTTTGTGTGTATTCATCGATGAAGGTGAGTATGTATTTGTTCCCTCCTGGAGTTGTGACCTGCATAG